ACAATCTCAAGACGTGACCTATCACAACATCGAACTCAATGTTAACATGTTAACATTGAGCAGGCTTTAGCTGCGTAAAAATAAAATAACAACAACAAGAAACGATAGTTTGAATTAACTTATCGCAAAAATTTAATAAAATATGAGTTCTGATTACTATAGTAAATACGCTGAACATTCACTTAAGATAACCCAAGGTTAGACACACAAAGATGAACGGTTATTACTTATTAACTGTTATATTAAAAAAATTATATAAATACTGTAGTACGTTCACCAGAGCTGGGAAAAATCAATATTTTTAGATTTTGAAAATCCAAACTTATATTTTAACCTAATAATCGTAGTATACAAATAAAAAAATTATTTAAGTGAAATGTTTTTTCAAGCTCTGATGGGAGGTGAATTTACGTGGGGTGTGGAACATAAGTGTGTTCATATAAATGAATAATAATGAGTAAATATTTTTTAAAAAATAAAATATATAGGATATTAAGGATTGTATGATTAATATTAATAATAATGGTTTATATTAAATATTTTACGACTCGCATTGGCTCAATGTGAATTATGATGTTACAATTTCTTCTTTATGAACACACATTAGGAATTGTTCAGATTTTGAATGGCGGCATTTAGATTTTATCATCTAAATTAAATTAAACTATTTTTGTAACGTACAGAATATATTATTATTGATACGCATGGTGATTCAATTTTAAATGATTACTTTTTAATGTAGGCTTACCTAAACTTTACAAATTATAATAATTCTTATTTGACGAAATTACTTATTAACTTTCAACACTTTTACTTGAAAAATCTGTACGGTTTTATAATATGGTTTTCTTTATTTATGGAGGAATAGGCGTTGATACTAAGCACATTTTTTTTTAGAAAACAAGATCAATGATGCAAAAGCGGTTTGCTTTCCACTATTGAATTAATCGCATAGTATTCCTGAACTAGTACCTAACAGATGTTTATTAGTTACATAATATGTATTATATTCGACGCTCTTTACGGTAGCTAAATAATTTCCGAACAAAACTTGCTAGCATTTTTACGAGGCGCTGCATCGCGCAAATTCAGCTCAACGGGGTAATAGTAACCGTAGGCTAAAAAACGCTATAAAACCAACCACTTATCAGTTTCGCATATAAATTAAAATATTTTCTGTTTCTTTGATAATGGCATATTGCTTTAAATATACACGGCTTATCAAAATTATCAGTTATATTTTAAATTGTATGTATATATATATATATATAGTTGTTCGAGTCGTAATTCATATGTATATTATTATTTAATGAGTTATACTGAAAAATATATACTTTAACATGTCTATCAAATATCTTAACCCTTGTACCACCACACCCTAAGGTGTCACGTGTATATTATTACAGTTTTAAAAACTATTTGGTCGACAGTTGCAGCTGTTGTGGCGCGAACGTTCACTGAAACGTAGAAGTTATATTAAATGATTATATTATGCTTAATATTAGCAGCTGCTAATAATATAATTTGTACTATATTTAAATATTATTTAAATCTTAATTGCCGTGGATCTCCTTCCAGTTTGGTATTTTAATTTGGCAAACGAGTGCGTTTCTGGCCGATGGTCAAATATTTTTGTGCGTTACTTAAAAAAAAAAAAAAAAACCCAGGACACCAATACGTGTTAATCGAATGCGAAAGCGATTTTTTTCTTTCCCCTCCGCCAACACAGCTCACGGCCCAAACCCGGATAGGGGGGCGACAATGTGCACATAATATGTATGTATGCACGGCGAAAGCAGAGAAACTAGCAGCGGTGGCGGTGGCAGCGGGGTGTGTGTCGTCTTAGCCGACGCTGTTTAACTGCTGTATAGCCGATAGTGCTAAACGAGTACCTACAGGTCCAAGTGCAGGAATTTTGAGTTGTTACGTATTACGTAAAACAAACAAGTCATGTTCGGTTCAGACGACTCGTGTTAATGGTTTGAATGGCTCGAGAGGAATGGCAACCGTCAAACGGTACAATTATGTTACTATTATTTACAATAATAATATGATGTATTTATAATATTATTGTTCGTTTGCAAGTAGGCACTGTAAACGCATCGACTGCTGGCAATGTAATGGTTCACGGGTATACCGAACCAACGGATACATAGGACTAGACGTTTTGTACGTTCTCAGTTTTTTTAGTCACAGACGTTTTACTTAATGGACCCATCAAGGTTCTACGTGTAATTAATGTAATTATTATTCGTTATTATCCGAAATATTCGTGTTAATAGGCGGAGACGACTTATACCCACATACTTCGAAAAGCACACCTTCACTTGGCGCATGTCGTATACTATTTACAATACCGTAATAATTGTTTAAGTAATTCGTTGAAGTACAATTTCATTTTGCTCAAAAGTCATATGTAAAAAAAAAAAATGTTTAGTAGTTTAAAAAAATACTTAAAGTAGATCTATAAAGAGTTATGTGTATGAAATAGAGCAAAGCTTAGTTTCCTATTATTACATAAATTATCAGTTATTTGTTTAATGAAGGTTTTATGATTTGTTGTTTGTTTTCGTTAGCACGAAGGTTAGCTCAGTTTACCTATATTTTATACTTAGTGGTATGCACATCAAATATACAATGCTAAATGTGTATTATTATAATAAACGCCTAAGAGAATAGGTACGTAATTCGTGTTTTTCATTGTTTTTATATTACAAGCGTCTGATATAATACCATAGATCTTCTAGTTATGGCCTATAACCCGTGCATAAAATTATACTACTTAATGTAAGCCGAAACATTCAATAGGCCTTAGTCGTATTATAAATATTATAATGGAAATACCTACTATAATAATAGTAAAATGACAATTAAACAGCTATACTTTCTGTCAAAAGAATGTGCGGTTGGTGACACCGCCCACCGCCAGGCAATATCACACAAACAATCATCAGCTGTTGGCGGAATATATATATATATAATAAATAGATATTTAATAAATAAATGTATATATATATAAATCGCGCGCGTTTGGTGTGTGATCGTTGCCTAAAAATACTGCTCGCTATTGGCCACCGACTGCAAAAGGCGGAGTCACCATTCGCATATTCGTTTGGCCGCAACTCTAAGACAAACATTTTTTAAACAAATTGTCTTGGAACACTCATTTATGTTATACCAATATTTGTTTGTATCATATTACTATAATTTGAAGAAAAATGCTTTTTAGTTACATTAAAATATATTACTCAAAGAACTGAAATAAATCTATATAATATTTATAGTAAAATGCATTCATACTCATTAGAACCACATGTTTGAGTAAAATGTGTGAACAAAAATAAATTTTAATTAAAATGTGAGTGACTAGAGTGTTCTGATTTTTCAACCAGAATGAATTGGACCCATAACTTACCCGCGTCTAAACAAAAAGTATGAACTTGTTTTTATTTTTTAGTAAAATTGTTGAATAAATTACTTTTAATTTAATAACAAACATATAAGTGACGCGGGACTTTCGTCTATTTTGTTTGTTACCACGATACCAAGTTTAATGTGAAATTATATTAAATCTAATTAAATTGCAAGGACTCCCTTTACTCGTTCAATTATTGTGGTTGTTATATATTGTGGTATTATGACTAGGCATACCTCGTCAATTGGCTAAAGTGATTTGGTACACGACTTAAATAATATACTCGACAAAAATTAAATTGCTAAGTAAAATATTTTGAATTCTGTAATGCAATGGTGTATATTATATATTAAAAATATTTATTACGCACACATAATTTAATCAATAAGTTTGTTTATAACTTTAATAACTTTATGTAAATTTTAATTGATTTGAAACATATGTTAGAGATGCTTTTATTCAGGCGGTGTTCTTTTTTAATTATGTGATGTAAATTGTAGTAAAAGTTATTATAATTAATTTATACTTACATATTATCATTATTTTTTTACAAACGGTAATTTGTTTATTACAACTTCCGGAATGATTGTTAAACTTTTACAAAACATATTTTTCATCAATTAAATTTAAAAAATAATATTGAATATTAAAAATACTCGACAGCTTACACGGTAAAGTTTACCGATAAACAGAATAATTAAAAATCCTTTTTGAAGTGTGTAGGTAGGTAATGTATTAATGGATATGAATATATCGGTGGTATGATCTGGCAGTATACTGGCATAAAAAAACTAAAACAATAGGTTACTACTTGACGGTATGAGAAATAAAAGGAATGTGCCGTATCGGTTTTAGTCGATTAATCAAGACATGTGCTTAAATACATCAGCCCTCTATTATTAATAGAACATTGTAATATTTCGTCGACACGGGCCGAGTATGTTAGCATTTGACGAATACAAAAGAATAATAACTTTTACTGGAAGAAAAAACATGTTAATAAAATATTCAAACGTGAAAAGAATTTGATTATTTTGATGATGGTACTGTGTGTGGGCAACTGACACTAATTTAAATTGCGTTGGTTCCGACGCTTATTAGCCACACATATGTGTATTAGCATCTGTGGATTTGCAAGATTCAATCGTATAACTGGTTGCCTGCGTTCAGTCTATCATCCTTTTGTCATGCCAAGGTCGCCCCTACATTGTACTCTAGATGGACCCACATTGTGTCATATTCAGCACGAAAGACTCCGAACATTGCCGCATGTATATTGCTTTGCCCATGACGTTAAATTGTCAACGACCTTGTGCTAGGTGTTTTACTAGGAAGCCCCAGGGGTACATAATGGAATCGAAGAGAGAGAGAGTTCATTGCGCACTGTTCTGAACCCCAATCTCGTTATAACGTGAAAACGTATCAAATCCAAACAAAACAGCGCGAGCAAAACTCGGATAAGCCGTCGCGTAGCACAATTTTAATTAGAAAAAAGACCAAGCGAAAGTCATCTGGACATTTTAGGGCCGGTTTATTATTTGAAATTTGTAATTACTATTTTTAACGCGTTGTATTTATGTTTCAGAATTTAAGTGAAAGTGAATCCATTGAAACGCTAGTATGGCAGCGTTTAAAGGACCCGAAGAAAAGCCGGAAGACGCAAGTCATGAAGTCGGCACCACTTTACCGGCTGTTATCATCAGTAGCGATGACTTTAAAGACGACACCCAGTGCGGCATTGGACCGTGCACACCAAAGTGGATGCAGATATTCGCTTCGAAACAAGCGTTTTTGGCCACGTTTTGTATTGGTTGGGTTCTTCAGGGCATGTTTTATACGTACTTCGTGAGCGTTATCACCACCTTGGAAAAACTGTTCCAGCTACAGAGCAAGACCACCGGCATAGTGATGAGTGCCACTGAGATCGGGCAGATCGGATCATCGTTGTTACTGACCTACTATGGTGGTCAGGGACACAGGCCTCGTTGGATAGCGTCTGGAATGGTGTTGTTTGCTGTGGCCGCGTTTTCGTGCTCTACTCCACACTTTTTTTTTGGACACCACCAGGTAATATCCAAATACGACGGGGCACTAGATAGCAATTTATCAGCGATCGCTCCCAACGTATGCCTGCAACCGGAAAACGGATTCGACGGTTCCGATCGTCAAGATGTGTGTCACGAGTCGGTGTTAAGTCAGCAAGAAACCCAGTCGAAAAACACGCAAATCGTGTTAACCATATTTTTTTTGAGTATGCTGGGCGTAGGAATGGGCCAGACGGCCGTCTACACGCTGGGAATACCTTTTATCGACGACAACGTGGCTAGTCGGGAATCGCCCCTCTATTTTTCCATTACCATAGGTGTTCGTATTCTTGGCCCGTCGTTTGGATTTCTGTTGGGGGCGCTTTGCACCAGCTTATACGCTGATCTATCGGTGGACACAGAAATCTCAACGACGGATCCACGGTGGGTTGGAGCCTGGTGGTTAGGACTTGTGGGTATATCGGCCACGCTACTACTGGCTTCGATACCTATGTTCGCGTTCCCAAAACGGTTACCGCCGTCCGCCAACGAAGTGGCGGCAATCGCCAGAAAACCGACCAACGGCGAAGTGTGTGGTAACAGCGTTCCAGCCGTTCCTAAAGCACCGAGATTAAAAGACTTCCCGACCGCCATCAAAAGGCTCCTTAAGAACGACATACTCATGTACCGGACGGCTAGTAGCGTGCTTCATTTGCTACCGATTGCCGGTATATACACGTTTTTGCCTAAGTACTTTGAGTCGCAATTCCGATTTCCTGCACACACAGCGAACATGGTTACAGGTACATTTGTACAACTATCTGGTTACAATAGACGTGTACATGATTAAATATACTGTTTTTACAGGAATCTACGGTATTATGGTGATGGGCATTGGAATCATCATATCCGGTATATTCATATTAAAGAAAAGTCCTAACGCTAGAGCAGTAGCTGCGTGGATTGCGTTTACAGCTGTGGCTTACGCTATTGGTAATAATGATTTATGTTAAAATATGTAGACTGAACAAACAAGAGAAGTCTGATCAAAGTTGAATGACCTAATAAATGTTGTTTTATCCGTTAATCAATATCGCCGAATGGTTGACTAGATTTTAATATTGTTTAGGTATGGGTATACTGATGTTTTTCGGATGTCCAATGTCAAACTTCTCGGGGTTACACTACGACGAACAGTAAGTAGGACTAATTTGATTTTATCGGTCTTCTTGGGTTTATTTCTATTGGTAACCGTTATGTTTTTATTTTATTTCTTAGGAATCTGGCCAAATTTGAATCTCGGTGCTCCAGCCAGTGCGTGTGCGACCAAGAGACATTTAGTCCAATATGTGGTGATGACGGTCACACGTACTTCTCAGCGTGTCACGCTGGGTGCCAAAACATAACCAGCATCAACAAGAATTATTATAAAGTCGGTATCAAATACACTCTGCAAAAGCTGATCAAGACAAGAAATCATTTTTAATTATTTAAATCTACAGTTTGTAGATTGCTTGTGCATGGAAGGTAATTCGACCGAAGCGACGCCGGGACTTTGTGATAATGGGTGCGAAGATACCGGTTTTTGGTACGTTGCTTTATTTTCGCTATTCGTGTTTATCCATTCCACTTCCGAAGTGGGCAGTATGCTGCTCATATTAAGGTGTGTGCATCCTCGAGACAAAGCGATGGCTTTGGGACTCATACAATTTGCAATTGGTATATTCGGTAAGTAGTAAAAGGTTTTTAACTGAAAAACACAGATTTCTCGGAATTTAACTGATGGAAGTCGTAAGGTTCACAAATAATGAATTTACTGATGTTTATTAATATTTATAAAGGAAACGTGCCTTGCCCTATCATATACGGAGCGGTGGTCGACTCTGCATGTATGGTGTGGGAAATGACATGTGGCAAACCAGGAGCGTGTACTCTCTACAATTCGGACTCATTTCGAATTTTTTATCATGGTATGGTTTACTTTTTATTTCTAGGACGACATCGATTTAAATTTAACTTCGATGACATTACTCAATGTATCAAATTTTATTTTAATTCTATGAAGTTTTGTTAAAAGCAATTATAAATCCCTTTTAAGGTGTACACCAGTGTTAATTGTATTACATGGGGATTTATTTACAGGTATAACTGGATTATTGATGTTATGTGCCTTTTTTGTGGACGTCATCGTATGGTATAAAGCTGGAAGTATTAATTTTGACGACGAGCACCAGTTACCAGTCAATGAAGAAGAACTAAGCCAGCTGACTCCTATCACAGAAAAAACGGAAACGGCTGTTTGACAGTAGGTATGTAAATACGTCAAACACGTATCACGTGTTGCAGTGATGTAACTGCACAGTACATCTTGTACTTCGAGTTATTCTCAATGTACAGTAACAATTCCGAATAGCGGGATGTATATTCCTTAGCATAAATACACGCGTTAGATAATGTTCTATAACCTCTCAGTGGACGTAGACACGGAAAACCTGTCCCAGCTATACATTTTACAGCCTATTAATTAACGTACTAGTCGAGAACGTGCAATAAAAAACCTTTTATTACCGATTATTTTCATCCACGAAAATTAAGATTTTTAACTCAAAGTAACAGCTTGTATCGAGTAGTATAGGCATCCGATATAGTTATATTTCTCTTAATAATAATTTACTAACCGAAGAAGAACACTTATCGGTAATAGCAAACAATGCTTGGAAAGTGCTAAACATGTTTAAAAAAAAACAACGAGAATATAGTGTAATTATAATATTATTTGATTATGTTTAATGAATTGAGGAAAACAACTCTTTTTATTGGGTTTCCAACAACTAAGCTGTATATCAAAACTAGCAATAAAATATGATGGTATATAAAATGAAATAGTGAAATAGTTATTATATTTTATATTTTTATACGAGTAGGTTTTTATATTACAGCTTATTTCCTAAAAGTATGAAGTAGTTTTAAAATTGGCATCTCAAAATATCAGATACCCTTTATAAGCTGTTTGATTATAACACTCTTGTATACAATGCACGCTTATAAATATGAAATCTAACATAACGCTCGAGTAAATACATAAAACATTAAAAAAAAATCATGTATTGGAATCGAGTATAGAAAATATTATGCCGTAAGCTAAAAATTATGATTCTATTTACAGGATTTTGTACTGTATGGTAATATTCTAGACAAAAAAAAAACGGTATCGGGTTATCTAACAATATTACACTCTGCTACGACAGTAAATATAGGTCGTATAGGTGGTTCAGTAAGATAACTTCAAGACATAGAGTACACATAATTATAATATAACAACACTAATACTGAAATACGTATAAATCAATCTTTAATAGATATTTAAGTAAAAAATAATTCTTTCAAAACTCGTTATTTAGAGAAAAATACAATAATAGAAAGTGTATCTATGCCTTGATAATAATAACACTAATAATAATTACTGTATGCGTAATAAAAATGTTTTATTTTATGTGAACAGAATCATTTAATTTTCTAATATTTATTTAGTATATGTTTTTAAATGGTGTTATTTTTGTTTTAGATTTTCAACGTACTCAACAGCCCAGCTATCATGTTCCTTGTTGATAACCTTAGTTAGATCTGTAAAAATGCTATCACATTACCCAATACATTTACTGTGCGCTTACATTTTTATATTTTATATTATTTACTGATAAAACTAATTTAAAAAAAATATAATACTTAGATGAATGGTGATGAATATTATTTATACCAGAAATTGCCAATTATTTACGGCCATCATGACTATAATATTATATCTTATAAATAATAGAACATCACGTTACGGAAAATGCTCTAGAAATATTTTAGATTAATTTAATATTAAAATTTTAATTTTTTAAATATTTTTAACGAAGTATATTTTTTTATAAATTATTATTATGAATTGAATAATTTGTTTTTATTACCTTTTTTTTTGTTAAGTCAATTACTTTTAATACAATGTGTAATGTCATCGAATTTATGTTAAACACAGTCCACATCATTTAAATGATACAGAAATATTAACGGCAAACTTGACTAGTCGCAATTATTTTGAATTATAAAAAAACAAATGCTGTTATTATTTCTATTTGTCTGTTTGCGAGTCATCCCTATATAAATGTATATCTATGTGCATATATATAAGACACATACTCCAATTAAAAAAAAAAAGACTGTAACTATTTTTTTAAATATAATATATTAATTGTTTATCACTTTTTTAAGTTGTAACCTTTCATATTATCAAATGTTCTTATTGTAATTTTATATAATTGTATACATTTTATTGTTTTACACATCACATCCATTAAGTTACCTCTCTTAATGAGTATACATTAATGTAAATCGATACGTATTGTAGCTTTTATTATTATTATTATTATTAGACTAAAATATTAATTTATTTATCTACATTAGTGAATTATTTTGTTATTTGGCCAAATATTACAAGGCAATTATTACTCGAACATCGAATATTTTGTTTTAAATCAATTTTTTGTTTTCTAATTTGTTAATCAATGTTAATTATAAATTATTATATTTATTAATTTTTTTTTTTAGTACAAAATTAAAAATAGTCCTAGTTAAGTTTATTTTAGCGTTTTATTTAAATAATGTTTATCATTATTATTTATTATGTTCATCTTATACTAATAGAGAAATAATTTTTAACATCTAAAAATACAAATGTTTAAATTTAATACGATTATTTATTGCCACTAAATGCCGACTATACAGAGTCAAATCAAATTGCAATATTTTATAACTCACAATATTAGACACAAGATTTTAGGCAACACGCATTGTTGTTTAAATCTATCTATATTATAATTTTATTTGGACAGGTTTATAAATACAATTACGGTCGTACAGTTGCTATAGCTATACCATAATTGTTTGTGCATGTATGTACGTGAAATCTCATAGTTTTTCTTAATTTAAACCATTATTACTTAATGGTTATCATTTTCTTGATCCTTGGTAGGGTGCTACCTTTTTGAGAGCTATGTAAACGGAATTCATTTTTAAATTAGGACTACTACTACTACTGCAATTTACTGTGAGGGTTTCGGTTAACTATTCTTGGTCAGCTTTTTGCATACTGCTTTTAGTGATACTGCGCTGTAGATTAGTCGGTAGTCCTGTCCTGCTATAAGTTAACTGTTTTTTTTTTGTTAAATCATTAAACATTATAAATTGTAGTTTTAAATTTAAAAGCCTAACCGGCGAAAGCCAGGTATTTGTAAGTATTTTATAATACTAGGTTTTCATAATTAAAAAAGATATTTTATGGAAATAATTTGATTTATAAATTACCTAAAATGCATATTTACAATTAGCTCAAAACATATATCGATTAAATTGATATATATATTTCTGATTTTACACTAGCGTCTAATTTAAAGTTATTTTTTTTAATGTATTACATTGCAATGCATATTTACGTGGCATACTTAATTTTGGTTTAAAAATAGTTTACATACCTACTTTTATTTGTATAGTGTACACCTAGAGTACTGACATTGTCTTCATTAAAACTAATTTAGTTAATTATTATTTTTCTAAATTGTTAATGGTAAATGGTGTACATTTTTCTGTACTCTATTTACATTAATACTACGACCTAAAAAATTACAAAATATTTGAAAACACTAGTATAGGTTACTATTAGATTATTTATACTTCACATAACCATCATCTCATAATGGCTTAAATATTCTATGAAGTCGACAAAAAATTGTTAGTTAAAACGTTAAAAGGGTCAAATACTAAATTTTATTTTGATTAACCTAAACCTAACTGGCTACCTCATTGATAAGTTTGTAAGAAACTAAAAAAAATCGAAGAAATAAAATTTAATGAGCAATTATTAAATATAAATTACAATTGTTTTTGAAGTAATATTATTATTTTAGTTTTAGTAAGTAGAGCTGCATTCAAACTGTTCTTCAGCTATAGCATAATACAATTTATTGAATTTTGATGACAATATAACAATGTAGTAATTAAGATAACGAATGTAGTAATGATAAGAATGGACGATCTGATTATTGGATGCCAATACAGCCTAAAATAAATACTCATCTAGATAAATTCCATGTAATACTGGTTTATAAAACAATTTTTTTGGTAATTGCAACTATAATAATTATTACTTTTTTTTTATTGTAGATTTTTAAAATTATACTACATTGTTATGAGTTTATAGAATGAAACTGAAGGAGATCTTAAAATGTTTAATAACGGTTGTGTCAATATATAAATCAATATAAATATAAAAATCAAAATAATGAAAAGCTTTTTATAGTAGCTTAAGATGCAACATTTGTAAAAAAATCTGGATGTATAAGTATGTTTTATAACAAATTAATGGTACTCAAGCTTGGTGCGATGATTAGAATAGTTCTTAAATCTATAGTGCATCTTCAGTTACCTAAATGTATGATTTTATAAAATGCTATGATATTATAAGATTTATATCATAAAAATAAAATGATTAGTTGTTTTTAAAAAACGGGTTACTATTTACCGTGTATAATTAATGTGTTAAAAATTGATTCAGTGCAAAATGGACTATTTTATTTAAATTGCATGCAAACTATTAACTTCCATATTAAATAAAATATAAGGTAGGTTAGGTTAGGTTTTGTATAAATCCATAAAACTGTAACAATATAACCAACATGGTACTTTTTTCAAAAATGAACTCTTTTGTTTTAGCGCTATCGCTTTTTATTTAAAACAACCTTTTTCTCGTTAAAGTAAAAAATATTACTATTAAGGTTACTCTATTAAAAATAAAATAGCTACGATATTTATTTGTTTGCTTATTATAATCTTAATGATATTATAGTATAAATAATGACTTTCGAAAACCAGTTTTGATTAAATATTTTTAATTATTAGCGTTATAAGATATGGGCTGAGGGTGAGTAGGATGTATCTAGCCTACTTACCCTCAAGTCTTTCTTTCCCTAAACTTTAAATGCTAATAACTCAAAAAGCATTTAGTCATATCTGGTTATAAACTAGTAATGGTCAATACATTATTCTGCTTTATAAGTAAGGTAAAATAAAATAAGTAGGTTGCTACTTGACTTTTAAAACTACCCCTTTAAAAATATGCTTTACTTAAATAATTAAATATAATTATTTAATTTTTATATAATAATGATCTCATCTAAACCTTTTTTAGCTAACATAATTATTCTATAGAAAAATTACTGAAACATGAAATTGGGCGGACCCTGTAGATATAATATCCCTATTATTATTAGTTATTATAACATTTATACTTTTATAGATTAATTAAGAATATCTCCTTAGCTTAGCTGCCAAGCTATAAGGGTTTAAAGCTAATAATTAATTATTATTAAAACAATTTTTGTTAAAAACGTATAACAATTTTTGTTTTATCTGTATTGGTGGTGATTTTAATCAAGTGTTATAGATACAATTGTCTATTGCATGGCATTAGATAATTCCATACAAGTTTAACACTTTTATGGATAAATTTGATTTTCTTATAAATATATTTAAAAAAAATTAAATTAAATTGTTTTGTTAACATTTATTTGTTCAAGTTAGGTCAGACACGGGTTTTACTGTATGTCGTTGAAGCTTACAATTAGTATACTTACATACATAATTATTTATTATCTACGTATAAATGATTGAGGATTACTACAAATTATTATAGTTTAAATTAAGGGTTTATGATATTTGAATTAAAAACATTATATTTTTGATAAATAAGGTGCGTATAATATATTACTTGTTGTAGATATAAAAAATACATAATAAATCTAAGTAAAAAAAAAATAAAATACATGATACATCTTATTAAAAGTATTAATACATAATAGAATATCAATTAAATTAAAGCTGTATAACATTATTTTTAATAAAATTTAAAATTGTTTGACATAATATTTTAAATAATGCAAAAATAAAATAGTTATTTACAATGTTTAAAATTGTTTAAAAAAAAATCGTTTTACTAAGATACCAAATCCATACTCTAATAATAACAATTAGTCATAATCCAGTTACCTTACAAATACCATTAAAATATTTAAGATTTAGGAGGATGTCGCGGTTGGTCGGTACAAGTGCGTCGTACTAACAACTAACGATTTATAATTACTGATGTGTAATGTGTTTAAAACTGAATTGGCTATAGGCATTGAAATAACAAGTTATACCTCATTGCCAACTGGCTATGCGTTATGGTAATGATGTATTAGTTGTAAGTGGTACAATAATAATAATAATAATAATAATGTTATTTAAAAAGAATTTATTGGTTGTCATGTCTAGACGACGAGTGATCTGGATTTATGTGCCTGGGTAGTGCTGTTGGAAGGCAACATGATTTTAGATTTATTTTTGGATCCGACGCGGTTGTGCACTTGCAAGTTAGACTCCACTACTATTTCGTCAAAGCCCGTGTTTAGCACTGCAAGAGAAAAAAAAACAATAATTGTAGTATAGTTATATTTTAACGGAATGTGCATTGTTGGTTTTTTACAACAAATATTTATCATTTTCGCCGACGCATACCTTGAGTGGGTTTCTGCAGTCTGCTCGACCTGCTCGTTGATGAAGTCCCTGCGGATGCGGCATTTGGAGTTCCATGACTGTCGTCGTCCTTAGGCCTGCAAAGACAACCGGACACGAGCAACAGTACTACACACACGGCAAACACGCGCGGACGAGACATTGTAAGTGTTTTTCGAGCGACGAGATACCGGTTGTTGCTGTTGCAGATAGACTGAGGAGACTGCAGCTGGATCGTACGCGGACGCTAGCTGCCGACTGGTCCAACACTGAGCATAGGTCAGCGGCGATGGTGACACATCACGCATCTCGGTTGTTGTAGAGGTTCTAGTTGCCTGTTTCTGTGAAAGTGTTACCAATAATACATATTATATATTACGCTCACCATCTAAGAATGATTCGTTCTACTCTGCTTGTAACTTCCGCCGCTCTCTATGTATAGGTTTTTTTCACAGGATTACAGCAAATCAGTAGTCCGTAGCACAATATTGCATTACGTATCTTAAATGTGTATCTGTGTGTTACGTAACATAAACAATCCGCTGTTCTTCGAAGATATTGTAATATTTTCAATTTTTAAACATTAGCAATATTCATTATAATATATTTACTTCGTAGAGCTGCGCCTATCTCCATTTTCATGCTCTTAGTTTAACCATACGAGTGACTCAACACTAATATATTTATTTTTGACTTTAAACGAGTCTAGTTATCTTCGGCAAATATTTTAATATTATGTAAGCTACTAGTATATACATATAACGATAGATAATAATATAAGAATACAGAATTTCGATAACGATATTGAACATAAAATCGCCGTGTTCCACACCTCTGGAATAATTTCTGATTTCCATAACGTTGTGTATATTTTAAGCAATAGCCCTTCCTTTTTTTTTCGAACACATTTCAGTGTCCACCTTAAGAGTTATAGTCACCGTTTCCCTGACGTGACTATACTGAGCGCATCGCTTGTTTCCTTTTGATATGTAAATGTCCGTATAGTTGTAATCGTGTTTTCTCGACCAAGTGGTGTTAATCATGTGGTTTTCTTTTTTCTCTGTTTATGGCTATTGAATTTTTTTGACATGCTTTGAATTTTGCTCATCCCTTTCGACATTTGCAATTTTCTTTCATTTCGACAACAGCTATTGTTTACTTCTTGGTCGAGAAAACACGGTTACAGCAACGGACATATACATAACCGATAGGAAACAAGCGATGCGCTCAGTACATTGACGTCAGGGAAACGGTGACTATGCCTCTGAAGATGAACCCTGAAATGGGTTCGAAACGACAGCTAACATAATATGATACCAAGGATTAATCCGAAAATTATCAAGTTAATATTACAATCCATGAAAATTTTAACACATTCAGTGTACATTATGTTCTCTATCTTGACAGGCGTCGTCTTGGTCTGTTTAAGAAGTTTTAAAAACGTTATATTAACGTTTTATTATTCAGTTTTGACTTTTTGGTAATTGTTTTCAGCAAATATTTTAAATTTAATTTATTTAAATTTTAATATAGCTATTTAATAATAGTTTTTGTTAAAATTAGTATTTAGATGACAAAAAACAATGTGTCATCTTTTACTTTATGAATGTGTTGAATTTTGCTTCATGTATCGAAACAATTAATATCACTGGCGGCTCGTAGTTGTTTGACACGAAAATGCGAAAAAATACACTGTTTTTTTCGACGACAGTGTATATTTTATACTGACCATACAACATCTAACAAATAACGATTATACAAATAGACGTTTATACAACTCCACTACATTAAATCTACAGTTAGCTATCCCGTCTGGCCCGTGATACAGACATCGGAACTCGGCACATCTCAGCAGCGTTTTATTAGCTATATTTCTACACAGTCTAAATTATATCGTTGTTTTCGCGGTAAAATTAAATTAATTGAATAACATTTGAATTTATTAGACTTTGTTAGTACATTTTTTCTATACCTTTAGACGGGTTTTTTTAGTTAGTACAATTTTTCTATTCTCTAAATGTTCTTTATTTTTTAATTTTGTATCTTAATTTATTTTAACAATTAAAACGAAATATATGTATTTTTAAATAATAATATAAACCACACAAATAAGCAGTTAAATACAAAGCAAATCTAACTACTGAGCCAGTCTCCAGTATTAATAAAATAATTCTTTTAATTTTAAACACGCATTCAGAATTTAGTATTGACTAATTGAGTATTCAATAAAAATGTTAGAGAGTAGAAGATTAGAAAAAATGTACCAACTAAATTTAGCAAATACAAAAACACAATTTTAGAGAGTTTTGATGTAGAAAACATCCATATCATTGCATATATTTAATAAATTCCTATGTTCTCTAACATCAAAACTATGAATCCCTGACTTCTAATATGTATACCTAAATAACACAATGTATAGGATAATATTAAGCATTGGCTATTATGTGTTATGTATGTCTATAGTTATTAACAATTAAATTGCCTCAAATACATACACTCATGAGTCCTGAGTACTATGTTATTGATATTTACAAATAATTAATGATTAGAGAAGCAAAACTTGAGTGTTTATACTATGATTTTTCTTTGTGCGACCACGCTAATGAGTTTACATACCAACTATGATTACAGAATAATTGCACTATAATCTTCATGTTTTGATTCTCATTTCTATGTATAATTATATGTATTACTTTATTTATTCCAACCTTTGCCAAATTCAGAATATTTGGCTCTTTAAAAAAAGGTTTTTATGTAAGTTGTGGTCACTGATGGGGATTCACCTAAATATATCCTTTACTTCTCTACGATAAAATAAAAGATAATGTTGGTAATTTAATGTTCTTACTATGTATGTCGTGTAACAATCCAAGTCCTATAAGCTATTGAACTGTAATATGAACTTCAAACTACTTGAAATGTACCAATAGTATTAATCACTAAATAATTATTATGGATTCAATGAAATGTAATTAAACACTTTATTTTAAAGAATGTTTTATGGTTTTTAATTGAGTTTATAAATACATTATTCATAAAATGTATCAATATACCTGTATAAAGTTTTAGATGCATTAAAATATGCCGACAACCTCGAATATGCTAACTAATAATTAACTTGTGTGAAATTAAAAATTCTACTGGCGTCTCTTTTTATTTTCCTCTTTATGGATTCTTTGTATCTATGTTTCCCATGAGGTAGACAAGAATATATTTAACGTCATATTCATGTATTGTCATGTCACGAACAGAATAGTGAAATTGTATTAATGCATTTTATTGACTTAAATATAGACATTATGGTATTTGTGATGTATTATTTATAAGTTATATAATATATTTAAAGTATTAAACGATTTTTTTAAACTAAATTATTTATAATATTTTGTTAGCTTAAATATTTATTATGATAAAAATAGAACTACTTTCAAATCAAAAGAAAAAATTGTTTGGAGGACAAATGTATTCTCAATTTTAAATATTTAGGGAAATATTCATTTGTTTTCTTTTAAATAATTATTTTCGAAAGAGCTAATATGCCGATAGAGCCTTAAATAAAATGAGCTTATATTTCACATTCCCATGAAGTTTTTTTTATTGCAGCGTTTTATTATAAAACTGACACACGTACATTTTTTCATATTATATTATGTTCCATAAGTTACGGTTACATGCTTTTCAGTGTAGATTGTATTCAAATACCAAGTATTGTATAATTTCGGAGTTAATGCAGCTGATACTTATTTTTTTAGTACGAGTTTACTATTAAATGCGACAAATGTAAATGTTTTCCTTTTTATCGTATTATTAAAATTTTAAATTAAAATAAAAAAGCTAGTACAGTGGTGACGAAGCATAATGGGGCGGGGAGGTCACAAATCACTTTTAAATAAACGTTTCGACGTGAATCCGAAATGGTAGAAATACAAAATATATCGATAAAAACATTGTACTTAATGACAATGATGAGCTTATATATATCTATAAAAAATTTAATTAAATGTATTCTTAGTATACATACGCCAATACGGTGGCAATACGATTAAGGTTGGTCGTCGTCTAAAAAAATATATTGCCATAGTTACCGCCATATGGTATTGTCATATATCGTAATTAACAATATAATGACATTATTTGCATTACCTGTTTTTTACTAACCAGAAAATTGACCATGGTCAAAGTGTAATTTTCCCCTTTTTTGGAGTTTCTTAATAAAAAAAAATCTACAACACATTTTTGAGGAAATATTATATGTTATAGTCTAAATCTACTTTCGGTCTAATTTTCAGACCTTAACCCTCCATCGCACGCACGGTTTTAGAGCGTCGTAATTTAAAGTTGATAAATATATATATTTTTTGGGTTCTTTTTTAGATTTTGAAGGGTAAACTTTTTAAATGTTTGGCCCATTAATGTACATTTCAGGTACAATTTCCGATCTACAGAGCTGCTACACAAAAAACAAAATAAAAACAATTCGCATCGACGCTAAAACATTTGTATTTAAAAATAATTTACATTTTACCACATATTATAAATGTATTTTTTTAAATTTACCCAGCTTATGACTTTAACTTCAGCCTAGTAATTTAGCCTACACGTTTTATTTATGGTTATCGTCGACTTACTAATAACGTCATCTTTTATTTTTTGCTGTCATATACCTACAGTTTATTTGTTAATATTGTTTGGAAAAAACGAATCATTAAAATCGTCAAATCTCAGTTTTCTCACGGGTAATGGACTGTTCTTCAGGAATCAATAAGATATTCAAAGCCTGACTTACCTACACTACTGCAGGTATGCGAGACACGTTTTTATATTGCTAGTTTTTTTTCACTACGCTCCACTCGGTCTGTTATAATATTGTTAGCTATACTACAATGTAATGTGTGTGTGTCGTGAAAATTTCTTGACTCTGTAATAAAATTGGCAGCCAAACGTAAACTCGTGTGTATGTGTGTGTGCTTGCTTGCCGCCGATGACGTGTTCGACACGGAGATAACTTAACCGTCTGTGCGGTGGAGCCGGCGACGATGGCAATCGGTCATGTCAGACTTGTATACTGGAACTCCGGCAGGCGCAAATGGTCAGGTGTTTGGAATGTGCGTCATACACCGTTTGTTCATTAATATGAATAAACTAGGCATGGCCTGCCGTGTATCTGTCACTAAATTCAGTCAACACTCATTTTATTTATGTAGGGTCCTTAACGCATAACTAATAAAAAGATGATTTAACGGAGTAAATCTTATATTTTGTATAATAATATTGTCATTAAAACCATGGTGACATTTGTAATGAAATTTCAGATTTCCAGTATGGAATTTTTAAACTAAAAATTAAAACGCGTTAATTTTTTTGAAAACTATGAAATATACATGAATAATTACTGTGAAAGAAGTAACTCCCTCTATCAATTATGATAAAATATACTAGGTACCTAGTAAACAAAATTATTTTAACTAGTTTGAAATATTGAAGCATTCTTCAATTGCAATTAGTACATTCAACGTACTTATAGTTTATGAATATGATTTTTAGAGGTCAATCACCCTTCATCATATTCTCCAAAAAAATTATTTCAGAAGTAGGCGTGAGTTTAGGACGCATGTTATAGTTCGACAATAGTCAGTCCCATACAAAAACTACTTTTTTGCAGAACTGTACGAGTGTAGGCGCAACTAGAGCTCAAATATTGGGGTTGCTGGAATTATGTTATCCCACAGACCCACGAGGGCTAGGCCCCCTACTCTCAAATACCTTTCCTAATATCTTTAGTAATTATAATAACCATTATTTTATGCATAGTAAAACCATTCAAATCACTATTTTAAATTAATTGAACCAGAATTAAAATTTCAAAACACATAAAATATGTATTTAAGCCAACAGTTATTACTACATTATTAATTATTATGTCAACATTAGTTTTCTATTTCTATTTGAATACTTATTTAGTATTTCTAAACATATGGTCAGATTAGTGAAACGTTGTTGCCACATACTACAGATATGTTAATAACTAGCTATGTTCGCGCATAACAGAACTTATAGGTATTGCAAGAGCGACTTGTAACTATTTATAGACATTTGGAAAAGTCGCATCTTTACAAATGTTTATAATATCTTCATGATTATTTGAAAGAAAACAGTTCTTCAGAACAAGCTTTTAACAAATTCAAAGAAATATTTATTACATCCTGCATTGTGATATAAACCTTGTAATATACCTTATAATGGGTTTTGAAGTAATGGCTTTTTTCAAAGTCAAATTTTATCAACCTAATAATTAATATTTTATATCTAATATAAAAAATAAAAATATGTTAGCATTACATATCGTTCTCTCTATTCATTTTTTGTTTCCTTTAAAACCACGATATAGAGAAGGTAGTCTATTTTTCGAGTTAGTTTTAGTTTTTTAGAACGAAGGGTGCTGAATAAGACACCAAAGCACCCCCCCTCCCCCAGTTGCGCCTATGTGACAGACAGTACGACTTGTTCGTTTAAATTTAAGAGACTTTAATATTAAATTGTACTAAAATACAATTTGTTCTCTGACTGGTAAGTTGTAACCACTAACTATGTAACTTATAAACGTATAGTCACGACAGTGGAACAGTGGACTAGCTCTCTGAAGATTGACCCTGCGGTGAGTTCGAAACGACGGAATTAACTATCCTGTAAAATTCTTTCAGTTAGGTCATTGCTCTGAGAAAGCCGAGATATGTATAAAGATATCGGTTCAATCAGAGTTCGTCTAACTAGACAGATGCAGACGTCGATACCATAAATCTTAATATATCCATAAATTTTAATATATACAGTATAATGTAACTTATATCTTAAAATAACTTGATATATGTATAAATTACAAAGGAAATATCGATTCATAATTTAAATAATCGATAAATTTAGACTTATTGATAATTTGATAATTTATATACATTACACACACAGACGCAAGAGAAAAACACATGATTTTTGTTAAAACTTATCAGTTCTTAGCTCGGCTATAGCTAAAATTATATGTGTAATTTAATTAGATGTGAAAATGATAATAATACCAACGGACAATGCTCAATAATTAATAACACTAAACTAGTAATCCGTATGCTTGTGAAGTAGTCTTTCTAAGCGATGATTTTGGTAAAATTGTCTATATTTTGGCAACGAAAATTTTGCACACCCGGACGTTATAGTTCACAACATGAATCTTGATGGCAGCATATCAATGCATTTTTAATCGTGAGGAAAAAATATCGAATTCGCACTTGTCAGCATTTTGGTCTGTTTAAAGTACAAACCACGTAGGCTTAGACGTAATGTTAGCCCCACCCCATGTACTATCGACCACTGAGACTACCTATATCTACGGGACCCTTGTCCAGTAATCGGCCTGTTTCATCTTCACGTCTCACCATGCAACAAACAATGGCTTGCCAAATGACTATCGCAGTGATCATGACCATCCAAGTGGTGTCCGCTTTTGTCCTACCTGAAGGTAACTTTATATTAGCTTAGTTAATAATTGATAGACATTTTTAAATTATATTTTTAATGGGCTTTTTATATTGATTTACTCATTATAAAAATAGGAATTGTACTGGCAGCATTTACTTTTTTACGCAAATGTTTTTTATACGTTAGTAAAAACTCAAAATATAATGTTTTCAAAATGTATCTATAGTTCATTAGCAACGATCCGCTTTACTTTGTATCGACCTGGTATTCCTATGTATACTAATGTGTATATAATTGCCTAATTCTTACTCCTTATTGTTGGTATAAATGCTTAATGCAATTGTTATAAATTAATGGTGTATAGACTATAATAATACATTAAAAACAACAGTTTTCAAGATTTCATGACATTTTTGGTTGTGTATGTTAATTACTGGTTGTATATGTAAAAAAGATAACTATCTTTATTTGTATTAGATAAGTGAGAAACTTTAGAAGACGCTACCCACACATTTACTCAAGAAGTAAAGTATAGACAATTTTTGTTGTAAAATCTTAATTTAGAGTTTAAACTATAATGTATACTTATTAAAACAGTAAAAAGGATTCTTTATTAGTTATTTTTATCTGTAAGACTATCTCAGTGATTTCTATAGAAAAAAAACACAATTTTTTACCATTAAAAAATAGTCTTGCCCGAATTGAAATCAAAATATCTTAGAATTGTTGTATCATCTAATTTATAAAATAAATAGAAGATAAATTTAACTGTACTTAAGCGTTTTAAAATGTTTGATAATTAAATCCACTAATTTATAATAATTATTTGAAAGATTTCATAAAATACAAACATTAAAAATTCGTAAAAGAAATAATTTGATCTATAAAAAATTGCCACATTTAAGTATAAACTATGTTCTCCTCTATTTTTCTATGAAAATTAGGTAAATTTAGTAATTTAACAGTCTCTCATTCGCGGAAACCCTTTTATTGACGCTACAAATTAAAAATGGGTAGCGTCCTCCTATAATGGGAATTTAGGCATGTAATTTTAAGTTTTAGAATAAAATATCTTTTTAAAATGATGTATTGATTTTTTAGCTAATGTGATGCTCGTGAGAATGAAACGGAGTCCTTCGCCAATGCGTTCGTTCTCTTTTAGCGGATTCAACCCTAGTGCTGGGCAAATGACTGCGTTTACTGGTGCAGCTGAATATCCGATGTTCTCAAACTACGGTCCTCCGTCACAGTATGGGCCACCTAAAGAATATGGACCGCCGGTACAAGATTCGTATGGACCCTCACCTTCTGGCACAGCAACCGAACATAAATACGGTTCACCGACAAATGATAACGATGTAAAACCTAGTTCATCAAATGATGCCAAAGAACCGAATAGCGAAGAACAAGGAGATCAAAAGCCAAAAAAAGGTAATTTAAACTGTAGTCTACATTAGAAATAAATTTAATTACCTTACTAAATGATAATACTTCTGAATGCATAGCTTTGAAAGCTAACAAAATGTATCATTTTAATAAATATAATCACATTGAGTTCACGTATTGATCTATTGGTTAATAATGGGATTTTTTAGCAGAGGAAAAAGTAGGGCCGATTTATCTAAGAAATATATTATATACTTATTAAGGGAAACTAAGGAATACACTAGGATAACAATATATATCGAAAAAAAACATTATAGTAACTTTACTGATTAAAAGTATAATAATCCAATATCAATATAATATCGAGTTGGGTATAAATCTTTATCAAGATAAATTACATAACAATGTATACAATTCCTATGTTATGTACAATGTATGTTAATATGCGTGTAGCCTGTAGATATAAGACGTATATATTTTACCATTTTTATAGTCCCCAATACAACACCCTTGACTAGATATTAAATATAAAGGACAATAACCTTCAGTGATTTTTTAAAGACCGTGAACGAAGATGATTGTTATAGAAAAACAATATTTTGATCTCGTGGTAAAATATCAACTACTTGTTAAACATGACCTTACTTAGTATTATGTGTATGATATAAGCATTATACGCGTAGTATATATATGCATATATTATATATTTAGTGACTATTATTTTAGCCCGGAGTTAGAATAAATTACTATGCAACTCCGAAAATTGAAAAATGTTCGGAAACAATGAGTCCAACGACCGTTCCGAATATTTACTTATAAGGTTCAATATTATGTAGACAATGCGATGTATTGTTTTCATATTTTTTTTTCTTCTTTGCTAACACTGAATATTGTTTCGTTGCTGCCAGGTCGCGATGGTCCAAGCAGTAACGCTGAAGCTTCGTTCAACGCATGGTTCCCGATAATGTTTGGCGTGTTCCCGAATGGCGGAGGTCAGTCGACAGGAGGCAGGGACAACCAAGGCCAAGGAAACGGATTAGGTGGTGGATATGAAAGATCGGGCACTACTGTGATAGCCAACAGCGTGAGCAACGGTAGACACGGTGTGGCTACCAGTCATGCTATCGCTTACGGCAACCCTAGATCACAGAAGAAGTAAACATTACCCACACAATATATAACCTAAACCTATTCGAAATAATTATCATTGTATCTGTAATATGTTTTTACAATTTAAACTCAATCTCATGTTTTATATATATTGTTTTTGTATTGTATATCTTTCATTGCTGTTATGTATTACATATAAGTAGATAAGATAAGTTAAGTGTATAATCATAAGCTCTCAATAACCATAATATTGTAATAAATATTCAATAACCATATAGACCATTTTTTTAAACTATTTTTCTACCATCTATTTAAAATAGTTTTTCTTTGTAAAAGACATAGTTACATAAGCTGTGCAAAAATACGGTTTTTAGCGTAATATGTAGCGACGCGTTTGTTTGAATTTATCACGTTTATAATATAATGCGTGTCGATCTATTTATTAGTGTGAAAATATATTTGAAGATTTAGCAATACAGCAAACTGTTAGCGAAAACTCTCCAAGCAGTAAGAATAAGTAAGTAAGCAGTAGATAGATATTGTACTGAATATTATTAAGTTCGATAGTTAATAAATTCGTATTAACTATTAAGTCCACATAAAAAGTTGTATAACTAGACATACATTATTTCTCCAATAAACTAACACACGAAAATCGTTTTTTCAAAGAATATCTCTAAAATATAACGATTGGCCTTCTACATACACACATACTTTACATGTATTTTTGCCCGTGTCAGAAATGGCAGTATAAAGTTGACATTGGATACTGCTGCTGTATTATAAATTGTCCAAGAACATCTCCGTGCACTTCAAATAGTTTACAGCCAATTATATTAAAAGCAGAGAACATCTAAGGACACGGCAAGAATTTATGTTAGCAACGTGTTACAAAAAGTATAATTTCAAAAATAAATGTTTATTTATTTAAATTATTAGTGATGACATTAAAAAAAAATGTTGATAATTATAAACAACATATATTTGAGAGGAGCATTTTAACCCTCCGGTACTCACCCGATTTTCGGTCACACATAAATAAAGTACCACAAAATAAAAATGTTTTATAACTTTAGCTTGATGTTTTCATTTTATCTTTAGACCACTATTCATTTGATCTGTAGTGTCGTAAGGCTGGCGATGTGGTTTTTTAGTCGATTACAAATATTTGGTAAATTAAAGGGCAACCGATAATTTTAGGTAGCACTCCTCATTTATTATTGACAAGTTTCTATAAAATAGTAAATATTTTACGTAAGTTTAATTTTGTTGTAAAATGTACCTAAGCTAATGTTTTTAAAATGAGCAGGGAACACGACGTTTTTTTAAGTGTACTTTTTAAGGTTCCCATAAAAATATCATTATATTTGGTTGCTTTGACAATTTGGGAGTTATTATAATTTTAAGGAGTAAAAATATGGTTTTAGTATTAGCCGAAAATTAATATTTTTTTGTATTGTAACAACAAGCTACATGATGATGATGATGATGGTGATGATAGTAACTTAAAAAAACACATGTGTGTTTATCGTACAGACGCTATTCAATTGCATTAGAATTAAATTTAATTAATACAAGTTAGAGTATATAATTTTAAAGTCTCGTATAAAATATTAGAGCACGGATATCTTTAGTACACTCCGAAGGGACACATAAATATATGCTCTTTATAGTCTGCTGTATAAATAAGTTCCATGCCGACGTTTGTGCTTTATCGATCGATTTTACCTTCGCTCAAAGTGAATCAAAACATAATGTAGATAACACGCAAGTATTGTGCAAAAGAGCACCTATAGCGAATTCCATTAAACGAGACGACGATCGTGATACAAGAATTAAGGCCGGACGTTAAAAGCCGACCAACAGTAATCGAGTCAGACCCCTTTGAATACGGTACCTAGAGGAACGAACCAAGAAGAAGGTGTACCGAGTAATGAAATCATCTGGTGTATGTGCGTGTCCTTAGACAAAGGATAATTGATTACTGAGCGAAACGTCGACATTTCATTATTGTTCAGTTATAAACTAATTAAACATGTAAACTGTGTTTCGTTACGCGTTTACTATAATACTACACATATTTTGAAGTAAAATGCGTGTTTCGTTGCACAAGCTAACTTATTTTTTAGAAACGCCTATACCATTAAAATAATATAATGTTATAACTTTATACTAGTAAATGCGTGTATACCTACCGTACATTAAATCAAAGCAAACCATTCGAACTCGACAAAAATGTTATGCTAAACTTTTATCAATACATATGATACCATGCATAACAAAAAGTTGTCTTCTTTTTTGAACCAAATTACATAAATTTATATGATGTGGTTTTTCTGTTAGTTCGAATCAGATCTTAGTTTTTCTGGGCTGAAATCCATTCGGCAAAAATAGACCTACATCGTTTTATCAGAAAACGGCAAAGTGGTTGTAAAAAATGGTATACAAGATATTCAAATTTAAACTAAATTCATTTTAAAATAATCTCAACCTGTGAAAAAAATTAAGTCCCGTTTTGGAATACATTTGCTTTGGCCGTATATGAAGTACTTGCATTAAAATTCAAAATGGATTAAGTCCAATATAGTTGTAATTGCAAAATATTATACTAATTAAGGTATTTAGTAAATACATGATATTGATGTAATTTTTTTTTTAGTCAAATAATTTATTCCATTAAAACAACACACAAAGAAAAATAATCCAAAGCCAAAATAATTCGTTTATTAGTTAGTGGTTCTACTTATAACAAGTCGGCAAAAATAAATTATACTTTAATAAACTAGTTATGAACTTTTTATCTTACACGACGTTATTCTTTTCATTATTATTTTATTAAAATGAGCTGTTAGGGGAAAATATATTACTTATAAGTGAGTTGTGACGATTTACATTGAAGTGGGTAAGCTTTGTAGTATATTCTGTTGAAAATATTCTGAGTATTCTTAAAAAGAATTATTATTTTTGACTGGCTTCATTGTAGCTTACGTTCGTAACGACCAATAATGATCCGCAGTCGTTAATATATCGTCATCGACTTAACTTCTCGCCATGAAGAAAGAAAAGTCTCGGTTGACAATAAAAAAATATTTCCGTCGATCCTTCTTTTCTCTGTTCACTACTTGTTATGTATAAAAATGAGGGCTGACATTAATGAAATTTAAACGACATTCTTCTTCATCAACCCCATCTTTCAGTAATCCTCCTTCATAATTGATCCCTTCGGCGCCTCGCTCGTCTGCTTAAATCTTTTATACTTGTTAATATTTTCCACCGTTTTCCACTACAAAAGCCCTGTACCCACGTCTCTTTTCTTTCTTTCCCTCCACCCACCGTTACCTCAGTCGCATTCATAATTAGAAGCACGTGACTCCGCCGCACCGTCCCGTTCTCTTATACCCACCACGATGATGTCAGATCATAATTTAAAAAGGTCTTGAGGCTTAAAGAGACTCGATCTGTCTATTAACAGCACACCTTTTATGTATACATGTATATATATGTCTCTTCTTCTTTCACGGGGCTTATAGTAAGGAGGGGTGTACCTGAAGAAACCGTCTCGAAAGTTAAAAGGGCTTGTGTCGCTTTTGTGCGCTTAATGCAAGGCCAATGGTATTTTCTTTTTCTCTAAAAATCAAGACGTCTTATTATTATTATTATTATTATTATTATACCTATATTATTTGTATTATAAAGCAAACAAGTCTTTTGGGCGCTATGATGAATTGACTTAGACTAAAGCGTCGCTGTCACATAAAAATTGTTTTGTGCACAGTCCATTTGAGTAAATGAGATTTAGGTAAGGTATATACAAAAAGTAATTATAATTATATTTAATGTTATTTTCCTCTGCCAGGTATAATTATGATTAATTGTACAAACTCGAAATAGTAATTATCGAAAAATTAAATTTGGTTTTCAAAAATGTTATGTTGTTTTTATCAAATAACGATGCGTATTATAAATTTTTAATCAGATGTTTTAGTATGTATAATACGAGTACAATAAATTAGAATATCTTAGAAATTTGAATATTTGTTAAAATGTACACTGAACATAATAAGTTGTTATGATAGAAAACATATTATTATCATTCAGCGGCGAATCAGGCAACATTTGCTGATAAACATAAATTAGAGATTAATGCATTGCTTACGTAAGCTGGCTTATTTTTTTAGCTAATTAACTTTATTAAAGCATTAGTACTTTAGCATTTACTGTTTAGTGTGTGTTATGTGTATGTGTATGATGGCGCTGTGGTAATGGGTAATATATTAAAATAATGAGTATTTGTTAGCATTTAAATAAGCACGTTTATCACAGTATTGCTAAATAACTGCCTAATAAGAAGTCGGAAACATATTATATTCAAACAACTAATATAATTAATGTATTATATTTTTAAACTATCACCAACTACCAAGAATAAACAAACGTCGTTCTATAATATGTATATTATAGTTATAATATTCAAAATCCTTATTCGTTATTGTTCTAGAATAAAGTATTGAAGTTTATATTATAATAAACAAGACTTATTTGATTCGTCAGTTATGCAGTTTCAATGTTATTCATATACCATAGTATATTTTGTTGCCTCTATTTTTATTATAGTAGTGTCACTATGTGAGCATCCTCGTCGCTCGAAACCTATATACTATAAATATTTAAAAATAACTAATTATAATAAAATGTGATCTTTACTATCGTTTATCATTATAGTATTAATCCTAAAATATTCTTATTGACATTCTTAAAAAGTTAATAATTTTTATAATAATCAATATTCTATTCATGCCGAAAAAAAACTTAATTTTATGATTAATTGATAGTAAGATTTATAGATTAATTTCAAGATTATCCTTTTTAGAAATTAATCACGTTTTGAACATTTTAGCTTTTAGTTTGAAAGTATTAGGCTTAAAATGATGTTATGTGTTTATTTATATGAGTCTGTACTAGGAATATCATTTTTTTTTTACTAGACCATGTACTAGACCATCTGTTTTGTTTATTAATTAAAATTATATTGTTAGCTTTTTTGCAAAATTGAAAGTATCCTTTTGAACAAAACTACTGAATAGTTTAGCATTGTTTAACCTATTGATCCTAATGTTATTATCAGGAAAAATTATCTAAGCGACTGAGTTTTGATGAGTATTTATATAGTTATTTCTGCATATCATAGGTCAACAAATGTTTACTTTTTATTTGTTACCATAGAAATTAAACCTGTTGTAGGACATATAATTTAGTGTACTGGAAAAACTAATAATTTCAGGTTGGCTCTTTTTCTCGAGATATGACTTACATAGATTACTTTATAGTGGATTTAACCGTCCATCAGCCAAATTCAGATTTTTCTATTGAACAAGTATTTCTATACTTATTTAATTAATTTGTGTTTACTTGGGTAATTTTTGGATTTTAGCTAATTGTAATATGATCCTATAACGCACATAGTTCATAGTTGGCGATTATTATACCTAATTAACCACCAAACCATTAGAATGATGTTGTATCAATAAAATATCTCAACTATGTAGTTTTTCTTTTCTGAAAAAACTGGTTAGGTCAATTTTTCCAAAGTTTTGTACATTTTTTTTATATTACACTTTTTTATTAGACAAAACTCATTGGCAAATTCTAAAGTAAAAATTTAAATCTATTAAAACTAACGTTACAAACAAAACCTTTAATTGGCTCTTTAATGACAACACGATTTTTTAAATTTGAATACAGTATTAAAACATTTTTCAAAATTCTCTGAGGTTCTGTTGGGAGTCAGAATCAACTTATGGATATTTTTCAAGCAAGATTAACTTTCAATAATATAGAACACGTTTAAATCAATCAAAGTAGACACAGCGAATTATTATACATCTTTATGTAAACCATATATTTTATGTTTTATTACAACATTTTTAAAAAAATAGAGGGGTGACCAACAATTCCTCCTCATTGGTTTTGTAAGAAAAAAGGTTCTAACAATCATAATTTCATTATGATAAAAACAATCTACTTTAATTTTAAAGGGAAAAGTGTAATAATCTAATAATTTCGTGTGAATATAGTTTTTCTTTTTAAAAACACAAGTAACGAGTTACCTATAACGAGTTTCAGGGTTAAAATACATGCTATATATACTATTATTGCTGGTGTATCAAATTGATGCTTTCCTATAGATGATAGATCTTATCGTTAAAACTGATTATAAATATGCTCGTTAAAAAAAGTGTAATTGCATTTCATTGCACCGGGTATCAAAGTAGCGATTCTTAAATGAAGCATACTCATTTATTCATTTATAATTAATATGTTTTTTGTTATAAATGTTTATTTTTAAGGTCTCACATTGTACTTTATAATATAATAGTTTAATAATTTGTTTTGCGTTAATATAACAACTAAAACTTTTTATTTTATATAAACTCAAAACCTTCAAATTTGAGACCAGACACTTTGGTTTCTGGATAAAGAATTTTTCCGTCGATCGTAAACACCGTTATAAATGTTCCCGTAGTCTCTCCTACTTCTTCAGTTTTAATCGCAACAATTACAGAATCATTTGTATTCGGGATGAACTTAAAACTGGCGTAACCGTGAGTGGGCACTATTTCACCGACTCGTACAACCTAAAATAAAATAAATAACATTTTTTTTTTTTTTAATATAGAATTCATCGTTTTGACACAGCTAAACATAAATAATTTCGCATATCATAATGCGAATTATAATGGGACAACTGTTTCAATACACTAGAAAAAAGTAAATGAAAAAGGTTCTGGAATTTAGACACTTCAAAACATCTGAAAAATGTCAGGCAAGTTTTTATTTTCCCGACATAGAGTGTGAAAATGGTGAAAAGGCTTAAAAAAGTTTAAAAGGTCTAAATCCCCAACGCCCTGTATATGTGTAATAATACAAAACCTAATACATTATAATAAAAAAAAAAGGATTGTCTATAATTTGTTAACTGTTATTAAAAATTCATTAGTTGTTGATTACTTATGTTCTACAGGACCAAAACATTAATTGAGAAAAAACTACATATTTTAATATATGTATCATATTTTGATTAGGTTTTAGCTAATACTATCAAGTACCTTAATGTCGCTGAAGTTTGGCGAGGCGGATAGCAAGACGTTGGTGGCTTTTCTTTCATCTGCACTGAAATCGTATTTGTCTGTGGACGCTTTTCTAGGTAAAAAGAAAAATCGGCCGTGTACATTACTCCACACACACGATTCGTGAGTCATGTATCCCGGGAAGTGAATTCCAAAGGCTGCGCGCAGCTTAATGAAGTTTTGTGTCCAATTTACGTGCTTAACACCTCCGTCGACGGTGATGACCTTTATCCACATGTTAGCCTGACTTGTGACTTTCAACCCATCCTTGCTCACCAACTCTTTACCGTGTGTTCCCACGTAGAGATTTTTTCCTTTCACTGTTGCCCATTCGTTTTTAAAAGCTATAAAGAATAATAAAACATTTACATTTTCATAAAAAATGTACCCGACTTACACAAAAATAAGCAAACGCAAAAAAAGAACAAATCTGTAAGTACTTTTTGTATTACGTCCGTCGCCTTCGGTGACCACCACCCAAGGAATCAACGAGTTTTCGTTCAAAACTTCATAGATTATGCCTGTTTTGTCGTCGATGGTCAACAGTTTACCGTTGTACGTTACTAACTCGGACAACTCCATTCCTCGGTCTTTTATGGCCATGTTCGATTTGTATTTTTCGCCGTCACCATTGTCCCACGTGATACTAACGTTTTGACTTTTAGGATTGTATTTCAGATACCCTTTTTTTAGGTAACTTATCCACGTGAGTTCTTCCTTGGAACTCTTCGAATCTGCATCTAGATCACTGATAATAGCCATGCGGTACTTTATAGTACCGTCGGCCTCATTAACAGGATTTGTTAGAGGATACCTTTCGTCTATAGGTTCTTCTACTAGATTACATGCCGCATTTGGATTATCTGCCGGTGCGCTGAGAACTGTGTGGCTGGCAATAACTGCCAAAAGCAACAAGCTTAAGGCTTGGTAAAACTAAAAAAACAAAAATGTATTTTTTTATAGAAATTATAGTAAGAAAACATGAAGGGAATATTACAAATAATTTTATACTCCATGTAATAATTTCTGTGATTTCAGACAAAGAGAATTACTTACAAAGTTAATTTTTTAACTTAACCTTTCGTGGTTTAGCATGACTTAAAAATAATAATTGGGATAAAAAAAATCTTGAATACTAATATATATATTACAAACACTTTTTCTTGGAAATCTAAACCGGCTAGGTTTAAACTTTTGTAGGGATATTTAATAGTAAAAAAGAACATATTTATTTATTTTTATACTCTGCATTCTAATAATTAAAACCTTAAATATATTGCGATGCCGTTTTTAAGGGAATGTATTTTGTTTTTGTGGTATTATATTTACACTAATTATAATATAGAAGCTTATTGTTAATATTAAAAATTGTGTTTTAACCCAATAGAAAAAAAAAATTAAATAAATGTATCAGTTACTTACCATCGGATATTTTTCAAGATTTTAATGAAGACCACACCGACGACCAAAATGAAACTAGTCATACACAATTTATGAACTAGCTTTATATAAAATTATAATCTCCGTGTAAATTCGTTTATTGTGGTAATTCTAAAAGTGTTATTGATAAGAAATTGTAAATCGTTGTTTTTAACTTCATTAATAATAATATTCTATTTGAAATATTATGTTTTACCGCTTTCATCGTATTTTAATGTGAACTTTTATCGATGGTAGGGTCATACAAAAAAAAAAAAAAAAGTGTTTACTAATATTGCATAGAACTGTTAATTAAACAAATGGGTTCATTCAAATTTCACTCAGGTTACATGCATTTCATTAAAAATAATCTGAATTTATCAGACCCACATATTAGGTATAATCTGAAGAAATTATTCGTCGTTAGTGAACATTTTCAAAAAATGTTGATAGCTGGTTTTGAAACTAGATGCCTCATTTTAGCTACCTATTTTTTAAAGCGCATTTTGTGTGCATCTCCAAAAATAAGAATATCAATTTGACCTTTACTAATACATAATTTTGTTTTGTATTTTATACTATTCATTTTATCAAGTCAGGTAATCGATTTCGACGTTTTTTTAAATTCAAAGGAGTAAACAGTTATATTTAACTTGAATACATTTATCAAGCATGCCTGTGTATTGTCATTTGTAGAATATTAATTTTGTACTGATTTCAAGATTAAAAATTAAAAAACATCTTATTTTTAGTTGACTTTATAATTTATTATATTAATTTTCTTGTACAATTTGTATTGTATAATACTATTTTGACCAACATTTTAAATTAATGACTATATTAATAGTAAAATAAGTTTATCTTTAATTCCATATTTGGATAATCTCTGCTGTACAATTGCTTGATGTTTTTTTTTAAACCTAATATTTATTAAGCATTACTTCCTTATACTCTTACCTTACGTACAAAATACAACAGCATACCTACTAGTTAGTGACTCATTTTTGTCAACAGTAATTTGTATGACTATTGAAGCTGTTTAACAACATGCTTAACGAGAAATATGATGACGCCTTGTAGAGTTTTCGGATTTTGCTTATTTTTTTCATTCAGAAACGCATTTTTTTAAAATAAACATAACATGAATTATCAAAAAGTTATATCAGTGGTTCAAATATAAGTATATGGTATTTATATGTAATTATTTTTTAAATTAAAATTTTAATTTCTTTCTGATACAAAACTATTACAATAGCTTATTATATGATTAAATACATGTTTAACAAAGTTAAACTAGGTGAAGTCTTGAGGAAAAAACAAATTTTGGCGGAAAGTCAAATTCAATTAGGTATGTGATTTTTTCTTTTTTTTAATAGCCTAGAAGACATTTTAACCGCTAAACCAATTCCTTTATACTCATTATAAATAGATCAGAAAAATCAAAACTTAAAATATATTAGGAATAACCAAGATAAAAACAGGGTAAAAGTGTTGGATAGTTTACAAAGTATTGCAAAATTAAACTGAAAAAGTTAATAATTAAAAACATTTAATTAAGCATGCATTTTTATGATTTACAATTATTCATTTATATATACATAATCATTATATTGTATAATATATACTAAGAGTCAAGAGTTGTTAAAATCAGTTTTATCAAGTATTCATTTAAAATACTACTATTTTTGTAAGCATTTGCAATATATTTGTTTATAGACTGTAGTTAGGTTGTATGGTTTTTTATTACAAATCCTATTATGGCTACATTTTTCAATTAATCTGCCCATCAATTTTCCCAGGTCATATAGGGAGACAATAAATGTCCAGTTGGAATAACTTAATTTATAGTTACCCTAACTAAATGTATAATTGCTTTAACTAAAAATGTATTTGGGTCTACTATTAATTTAGTTATACCAACTAGAAATTTATTGTGTATTTAACCATAATTTTAGTTGGACCAAATATGTATTTTTTTTAGTGTAAAAACGTGTTCCTTTATAATTAAGTATTCCAGAGAAACATCAAGATTTCATAACGCCTTTGACATTTTATTTGTTTTAGCTCTTAATTATGATAATGTTATTTATTTTATCACTATTTTTATGAAAGACAATTATTTTTGATTGGATGTAACAATTATACTTAACTTGTTTTATTAAAAATCGAATGTTTGTTTACCAAAAACAATACGAGCATAAAGAGATATATTTATAAAAAAATGATTGTTTTAAATTATTTTTATTTTTAATACTCTTGAAAGTGACACAAATCACATGAATATAAGTTGATTTACGTATTAATTCATTGAAAACATTTCTCCGATTCATTAAATATATCGACTTATAACTTTAACTTGAGTCCTGAGAGATATTTAATATCTGCGAGTAGAGGCTTTCATTAATTACTTAAGATCAAACGCGAATCGACGTCTTTTAAACTAAAATACCGACAATATTTGAGTTCGAAATTAATATAATATAAAGAGCAATATCTGACCCATCGCTAACGAAACCTCAAATTTTCGAAATGATTTATTGGTAAACGTACGAACGCAAGCAATATTTATATGTTTATATTTACTTGTTATGATTTAAAAGCAAAACTATCTTAATAATATTGTATCATGATGTTTACAAAGAAAGAACTTTTAATGGAGCCCTTTTGCTGCATACTCTCGGCTGCTGCTACCGTCTGGGATGACGAGATTAATGGACTGACTAATTTGTGTGTCTCGATTTTACCCCACGACGCGGCGGAATACAGCGATTACATTATAGGTCTAGTGGAATCCTCTTTACGATCGCCGCTTTCCTTATGGGTCCATGTAATAATGCGGTCGTGAGTGCAGAACCGGCGCGTGACGACTTAATTCATTTGACCCTCCAGACGAGTACCCAAAGGTTCACTTCAAAATATTGTAATTTAATTGAAACTGCATCAAATACCTTTAAACGTAAGTATTTTCGATGATATTAGCTTCGATTCTGAGCTATGGTGGTATTGTTTTGGAAACGATGTATGCGGACTCATAGTATTTTTAAACCGAAGATTTCTTCATATAGCAGGTCTATATGAAGTAACTGAAAATTACTTTGATGGCCCAAAAATTTCAAAAGTTCACCACTCCCCTTCAAAATCGAGAAAACACTCAACAAATTGATATATTTTAGCTAAAAATTGCTGCGCTCTATAACTTTTTGAAAAAAGTAAAATAAGTTTTACTAAATTTGTATGGAGTATTCTTTATAAATATCATTATTAATATGGATTGACAAACAAAATAATTTTTAAAACCCTTTACCTCAGAAAACTTTCTTTATTTCGCTTTCTTATAGGTGTAGTTATGGTCTGAAAATTTTACTGAAGGTAGATCCCATTTTTTTTTTTATGGAAAAACCAAAAAAATCCAGGCAATTAAGGCCAGAGTAAAGTGGGGAAGAAGCATACTAGTGGGGAAGGATCACAGGTCTTCAGGTATTATTATACCTGAATATAATAAAATGACTTTCAAATAAACGCTTTGATGCAAATCTATAGATAGTAGAATTACAACAATCGATAAAAAGCACTGTAGCCATTTTTTTTTTTTTTTTAATGTGCTATTATTAAACAACATTACAGCACAACAATTATACAACTATATACAATAAATAATAATATTACAATTTATATGATTTAAAAACAAAAACACAATTAAATAGAAAAACCAGCTTTAGAAAGGAATGATATTAGGAACGGTAGGACAACGGGAGTTTAAAAGTAGAGAGGGACAAGGGAAGAATAGCCGAGAGCACTGAGATTGAAATGTAAACTTTTTCCAACCCGTTTTTATAATAATTGTTTTTAATTAAAACTAAATTTTGTTGCTTTATATTAATAATCGTTTTTACCATTACCTGTTTACTACAACGATAATAAATTGAAAAATTATTTTTATTTATGTTTGTACTGTATGGATTCGAATGCAGAACTTCTTCTACTGACCTTTTTAGATTTTGATAGCAATTGAGGTCATATATAAATATATTAAGGAAACCTATTAGTCTCCTAGAAATATACATTTTAATTAGAGAAGATCGAGATTTACAAAATACATAATGTTGAACTAATAATTATATTTAGTAGGAATAATTATACTGTTTCTTCAGCTTCGATGTAGTTGAGTAATCAACTGCTATTTAAAAAATATTTGTATTATGTTATCGATTGCGTGGTCTCTACTTGATCTTTTGAACCTTCAATAGTTCTTGTCAATGATCCCGTGACTTCTACATCCATCAGCTCTTGTAGTTTCTTGTTTGTCTAATTCCCTAATAAAAAAATAAATAATATTTAGTAATACCAAAGTCTTATTCTAACGTTTTCTATGCATAAGGTGAATTTATGTGCTCACCATAATAAATTATTTTCTATTCACAGATCTTAACTACAACTTATTTATTTATACTTTATGGAACAAGTTACATAACTGATGAAAATACAATATTATTGAGCGTAAGGCAAATCGTTTGTTAGTGTATCTGAAACATTAGGACTTTGTTGTAATGTTTAAAAGATTTTTCTTTTTTAATTGCATTTAGTAAACTATCTACCCATGTTGACTAATAGGACTAAGACGTGCTGTTAAAAATAAATGGGGCACTTAATTTCGGTTTAGATGTGTATACTTAAGTTCGGGGTACCATTGGACGCGGCAACGGTGGATTTCGATATGATACAGTTCGGGGACGAGCCAAGGCACGTGACCTAACCGTGAATTATGTATAGTAGTACGTGCTCATTGATGGAATGAAAAAATGAGACAGTAATCCCCGTCTTACCCGATAATTAAGAAAATAAACGGAAACACACCTTCTCCCACCCTCTCGCATAGAGAGTGCCTTCCGTCCACTTAAATGTTAAAATCTCTCAGTAAAAACAAAACGGGCAAAAAACCACCATCCCGCGCTCCTATTTTTTTTATTCTTTACGCTCACTTCTTCGGTCCCGATATTCTCATTTTTGCCCTGTGTACTTATTTTTCTTTATTTTTAATC